CCCAGCGGGCACCGGCGCGCAGCAGGGAACGAGTGACTCCACGGTGCCACATGACCGGGTCTTAGGATTTTTGACTCAGCGGGGCCGGTGGCAGCGGGTCCCCACAGTGGCCCTGGCCAGTCAGCAGGGACATGGCACTCTGGTTTGGCTGTGGCGATGGCCCGGTCCATGCCAGCGGCTGGGCCGGGTCACTTGCCATCCAGGGGCTGCCTGACGTGCGGCACATGGTGCCATGCGGTCTTGTGCCACACTGTGGCACGGCACGTGCCTGGTGGTGCCAGGCCATGCCATGAGATGTCACCGCCTTGCCAGCATCACATGCCGTGCACCACGCTGTGCCATGCTGTGATCTGCCGTGCCCCACGCCATGCCCTGCGCCACAGCCCATCATGTGCCACTGTGCCACGACACATCCTGTGCCGTGCCAGCCCGTGCCGTGCCACATCCCATCATGTGCCACCGTGCCATGACGCGACGCATCCTGCGCCATGCCCTGTGCCACATCTCGCGCTGTGCCACCCCGCGTGCCGCACCAGGCTGCGTCCCATCCCACCCCAGGCCACTGTCCCATGCCGTGCCACGTGCCCTGGTGAGGGTGACGGGCACAGCCCAGCCACCGGAACGTGAACCCCTCTGCCCACAGACACCCGGACACGGGGACACGAGCACTCGGCGGCCCACGGGCCGAGGTTGATGCTTTATTTCCTTCTGCCGTTGTACAAAAATACGGGGGTGCCGTGAGCCCGTGGTGGGCGCCACCCTCTCACAGTACCAAAAAATATTGATATTCATAAATAAAACCTTGTTACATAGTTTAACAGGATACAAAAAAATTATCATAAAAATAGATATTTATATATTAAAAATGTGTCCTTAAATATTTTTTCCCACTGCAGGGACATATTAAATTAACCCCAAGATTCAATAAATACCATAACCACACAAATATTAATGTATAAATTAGTGGGGAGGGGGTGGGTGCCGCCCCCCACCGTCACAGTGCGGTGGCCGGAGCCGAGCCCCCGCCCGGCACCAGCAGGGTTGCGGTGGCACAGCCCAAGGGGCCTGGGGACACTGGGGGGGACGGGGATGCTGAGCACCAGGGGAGGAGCATGGGGTCCCTGGGGACATGGGGATGCTGAGAGCACGAGGACACCACAAGCATGGGGTCACCAGTGGGGACACAGGGACGGGAGCTGGGACAGCAAGCACACAGGGACGCTGAGAGCACAGGGACGAGCACAGGGATGCTGAGGGCTCAGGGACGCTGAGGGCTCAGGGACACTGAGCGTGCAGGGACACGGACAGGGATGAGCACAGGGACATTGAGCTTGTAGGGACACCAAGCACACAGGAACACCGAGCTTACGGGGACACTGAGATTGTGAGACCATCAAGATTGTGGGGACACCAAGAACACAGGGACACCGAGCTCATGGGGACACCGAGCTCACGGGGACACCGAGCTCCCACAGACACCAAGCACACAGGGACACCGAGCTCACAGGATTCTGCTCCCGGATGCTCTCCGGGATCAGCAAACCCAGCGCGGGGCAGGCAGGGGTGACAGCACTGGTGGCACTCGCCCAAACCCAGCGCGGGGCAGGCAGGGGTGACAACGCTGGTGGCACTCGCCGGTGCCCGCAATGCTCCCCGCAGGCCGGGGCCGCACCCTGCCATCAGCGTGGCGGGTGCTGAGTGAGCGGCTCTTAGTCAGGCTGGGTCACCGGACCCATTGAATCACTGGAAAAATCCATCAGGACTCGGCAGCCAGGGCCGGCTCCGTCCTGCAGCGCTGGGTGGCCGGGGGACCCCCCAGGGGCTGCCAAAACACAGGGCAGGAGCGG